TCTTTGTATATTTTGGAGATCAGACCTCTGTCTGATGTGGGTTAGTAAAGATCTTTTCCCATTCTGTAGGTTGTTGTTTTGTCTTGTTGACCCTGTCCTTTGCTTTACAGAAGCTTTTCAGTTTCAGGAGGTCCCATTTATTAATTGCTTCTCTCAGTGTCTCTGCTACTGGGGTTATATTTAGGAAGTGGTTCCCTATGCCAATGCGTTCAAGTGTATTTCCCACTTTCTCTTCTATAAGGTTCAGTGTGGCTGGCTTTATGTTGAGGTCTTTGATCCATTTGGACTTAAGTTTTGTGCATGGTGATCGATATGGGTCTATTTTCATTCTTCTACATGTTGATATCCAGTTATGCCAGCACCACTCATTAAATATGCTTTCTTTTTTCCATTTGATTTTTTTTTTGCTTCTTTGTCAAAAATCAGGTGTCTGAAGATGTGTGGATTGATATCCATGTCTTCTGCTCAGTTTTGTTGGTCCTCCTGTCTGTTTTTATGCCAACACCAGTCTGTTTTCAGTACTGTAGCTCTGTAGGAGAGTTTGAAGTCAGGGATTGTGATGCCTTCAGAAGTTCTTTTATTATACAGGATTATTTTGGCTATCCTGGGTTTTTTTGCTTTTCCACATGAAGTTGAATATCATTCTTTCAAGGTCTTTGAAGAATTTTGCTGAGATTTTGATGGGCATTGTGTTGAATCTGTTAGGAATACATTTTCTTTTTAAGCAATGTAAGGGTTATCCCTCCTTGCCACTGCCACTCACAAGAGATGGATCCAGTGAGTTATGTCAAAGTATAGTCGCATGTCATTACTATATACAAGCAGGAGGCAGGCTGGTTGCCTTTTCAATGAGCTCCCAAAGTCTCTAAGGAGTTGGGTTTTTTCTGGCCCATTGTTCTAATCTAAAGGTTGGTACACAGCAACAGATCAATAAATGTTTAAAAAATGATGTGGCTAGGGCCACAGTCTAATGACATGAAGGTCACATGGTTCATTGGTGACTGAACGAGAACTTCCACCTTTCCTGTCCTCTGACCCCAATGTTAGGTCACCCTGTTTAGCTGAGTAAAGGCAGAGAATAGGCTACCTGTGTCTAAAGCACTGCAAAACTCCACTCTGCTCTTCTTGGCACCATCTCTTCACATATGTTCTAACTCGTAAATTATATATATATATATATATATATATATATATATAGAGAGAGAGAGAGAGAGAGAGAGAGAGAGAGAGAGAGATCTGACCAAATGAATAAATAACTCTCTATTACAATGCTTCTCACCTATACAGATCTGACTTCCAGCATTGCTCCTCTATCTGTCTGTCTTGAGGAAGTGTTCCATGTAACTCCAGCTGGCTTCAAACTCCATAAGTAACCAAGTCTGGCCTTGAAGTCCCAATTCTTCTGCCTCTCCCTCTGTGTGCTTATGTCATGGGTGTGTCCACCAATCGGGGTTTGCCGTCATAGACTTGACCCAGGCACATCACCTTGTCTGATCTCTAGCTTATGTACCCAGAAACCCTTATCCTTCCTCCAGGAGCCAGCCTGAAAACATCTCCTTGGTGCAATACCCTTCACCCTTGCCCACACTTCCCCGGCAGCCTGTCATCTCTGCCTCTTAGTTCCTTCCCCCCATCTCACCCTAATCTCTAGGCAGAAAGGTCTTCCCTCTAGAGACATCCCCGACATTCAAGCTCAAGTCTGTAATGCAACACTGACCCTCGTGTCCCCACTGCATAACACTTGAGTTTTCACTGCAGGATTTGTGGGGGACAAGGGTGAAGGAACAGTCAAATCCTTACACACTTTGCAGCTGCCATTTCTAGGATATTGTGAGATGACACTTCTGTGTGGCCTTTTCCCCATCACAACGCAGTAAATCCAGCAGCAAGATTTTAGGCCTCACAGAACTAGCTCCAAGCAGAGTCAAAAACTCAACTGGAAGGCGTCCCAGGCTGCTCCACCCCCCCAGCACCTTGCAGGCCCGGAGTTCCAGGCACAGGAGGCTCAGCAAGTTCCTAGAGCAGCTGCTACAGTACCAGGGCTCTGGGATACACTTGGGACCATCGCTGGATTCTCTTGTGAAATGAAGTTCTCTAAAGAAACCTCATCTGTGTTAAAGACCCTTGAGACCGACCAGAACATCACATGCAGAGAGAAGGAATGCTGCTGACCACGAGCCAAGATTATCTTGGGCTATCTTTAGTTCCCTCCCGAGCTGTCTTAAATCTCTGTACCTGACCTAACAAAGCTCTTGAAACACATCGCTGAACGTAGCTGACCACCAGGGTCCTCCAAACCTAAAACTAAGACTCTTATACCCAACAACAGAATTTCCCTGCTCTGCCGAAGCCCACATAGCTAACGTACCTACCCAAGTAAGCATATCAATTTACAACTTTCTTTTACATGTGACTTTAACTTTAGATAACCTTTTCCATAGTGGGAAATGTCATCCGGGCATCCTGGATCCTTATTCATGGGCCTTGGTCATTCATGTTTGTCTCAGAATGAACTCTCTCTTATTCCCATAGGGACAAAGGCTGAAAGGCTGCATAGAGCCAGGGAAGGGGAGAAATAGGTTGCAGTGAGAGACTGGCTCACTTTTCCATATAAGCTTCCCCTCAGACCAACACAGTCAGGATTTGGATAGGGAAAACGAAGCTATTCTGGAATCTGATGCTTTTTAAGTCTCAATTTTCCTGAGCCAAAGTGGGCATAGTGGTTGTAATCCCAGTGAAACAGAATAGCAGCAAGTTCAAGATCAGCCCGAGCTACATATTGAGTTCCAGGCTAGATTGTCACATAAATAAATAAATTGTACCTCCCCAAATAAATAAAAACAAAATACAGATATCTGGGCCCTAAATGTCAAGAATATAGCTGAGTAGAGTGGAGGCTGTTCAGAAGTCTGTGCTGAAAATAAAACAAAAAACAGAGAGCCAGGGCTCCAGCTCAGTGTGTGGTATGCTTGCCTACCGGGATCAGAGCCCTGGGGTTCACTTCCGGCTCTGCACAAGACTGGGCACGGTGGCAGACACTACAGTCCCAATCAGGAGATGGAGGAAGAAGGGTAAGAATTTCAAGTTCATCCTTGGCTACATTGTGAGTTCCAGGCCAGCCTGGGCTAAATGAGACTCTATCCCCAAAAAAGAAAAGGAATGCCAGGTGTGGCAGCACATGCCTTTGCTACAATGAGTTCCAGCCCAAGAGACTAAGAAGTCCTCCAAACTGACACTTAGCAACTGCTCACTAAACATTTGGCCAGGACTGAGCGTTGGCACTCTGGCAGGAATTGACACAAACTGCTCTGGGAGGTGTGGGTGACAGGAACGAGAAGTGTCCCCTCTGGATGCATGTATTTGAACGTTTGGTCTCCTGTTGGGTGCTCTTTGGGAAAATTATGAAAACTCCAGAAGGAAGAGCCTTGCTGGAGAAAGTTCATCCTTGGGGTCAGGCTTTGGGTTTTCATAGGCTCGCTCTACTTCACGCCTTCTCTCCCTGCTTCCTGTGCGGTTAAGATGTGATCTGCTCCTGCCACCACACTTTCCCCACATTATGGTTATGGAACCATAAACCAAAATAATTTACTTCTTCTCAGATGCTCTTGGCTATCGTATTTCCTCACAAGAGAAAAGTAACCCACACAAGGCAGCCAATCCCTATCCCGACAGCCCTTCATTCCCATGGAGACTAACCCATTCCATAAGAGTAGGGGGTGGAAATGAGTAAGGCTGGAAGTAACTCATGTGCCCCATGGTCCCCTCCAACATGAAAATTATAGGGCAATGACTCTGGATTCAGGTTGGGGGAATTCTTGGAAACCCTGCTAGGGCCAGGTGAGCTGATCAGCTGATGTCAATGTGGTTTGCGATAGCTTGTGTTCTAGGACACAAACTGGGTGTGGCTAAGCAAACTCATTGTGAAGCAGCAATAGGCAGAGGGAAGAGGTCACTTGGGTTCTTCAACCTTCCAGTCTTTCAGTTTCTGTGACTTTCCTGCGACTTCCCTGGGCTATTTGGATTCAGTGGACAATGCAGGGACCCAAGCAGCCTTGAGGCAAGGCAAGATTTCCAAGGGCTGGCTCTCTGAATGTCTTGAGGGTACCCTCTCAGGCTGACTGGGCTCCATACCTAGCCTGTGCGCCAGGCTCCAGGTAAGCAGGTAGATAGTCTGCCTCTTAACCAGCTCATTGCGCCTTGGTCTCAGCCACCATCAGGACAGGGAACAAACCAGGCTTCCTGCCTTGATCTGCTAATGACAATGGATTACCTATGCAGAAGGCCAGCATGGGCGTAACTGCAAGGGAAGCCTGGAGCTCATGCATGCCGTGAGCCCCAGGAATTCAGAGCTTTGAGGAAGGCTGCAAGGCTTCCTGAAGTCTAACAACTAAAGGATAAATACTTCCTGATTGTCTTCACAATCGTCAAGGATAGGAGATTCTATGGGTAAGCCCATGCCAACTCTTTCTCAACCTCTCCCTCACTTCAAAGGATGTGCAAGTCTAACCCAATCTTTCAGGTTAGCGTGTCGTCGGAGGGTGCATGGGGACAGGAGTCTGGGAGACCATGCTCGGCGTACTGCTGGGTCGCTGTGACTTTAGGCAGGCCTGTTTCTCTCTTTGAACCTCAGATTCTTTCTCTGAGTCAGAAGCTGGACTGACCTTTTCCCACCTTGGCTATAAATCAGAATCATCTGGGTGGTGACAACATACAGGGACCTGGGAACAGAAAAGATTCCTAAGTCTCATCCCAAAGCTAAGGAACCTGAACTTCCAGGGAGGATAAAGAAGCCATGCCGATCCTGAACTCCAACCTCAGCTGCAGCCAGGGAGCCTCGGGAGCCCCTCTGTTTGCCCTCACCCCCTCCATCAGGGAGACCCTTAAGATTCATCGCTCCAAGCCATGCCCCAGCTCTTCCCAACTTCTCAGCCTCCTCCGCACGCACGGAGCTGGAGGAAGCTTGCATCCCCTCTTTCTCCAAGGAGCTCTGGAGGCTGAAGTGCTGGTCAGTGAGCACTTTATTACCCATCAACCTGCCCAGCCTGCCCGCACCACAGCCCGGACAGCATCTTCGTCCGTCAGTTCTGGCATCCGGCCTCAGCCTCTATCCACACTCTCACTCCCTTTCAAGGCAGCACCAGGCCGGGGGCCACCCCTCAGCTGGGAGAGGGAGAAGGGGACGGGAAGATAAAAGCCGGGCAAAAAGAAACCAGATTTGGCCCCCAAGCTTCTGGAGCCATCGCCCCGGTTAAAAGGGCAAGGAGGCGGGGCTTCTGGGGCCACTACACGTGGTTCAGGCAGGAGGCTCTTCTCCAGGACGGGCAGGGAAGCCACTCAGGTCTCGGCCAATGATCTCACTCACTGTAAAGGAGGGCAGTTGAAAGATAGGGCTAAGGCAGGGCCTTTTCCTTTTCCAGAGGCCGCGCCCCCCTTCAATTCCAGGCAAGCCTCCAGCTAGGATACATCTGGATTCCTCTTTGGCTGGGCCTCAGTTTCCCTAATGTCTCTTAACATCTGCTCCTAACTAAATTGTGTCCAACTCCATCCATGTGGGGTCCCAGCCCTGGATCATAGCCAGCTTGGCCTATGCCAGTGGCAGCAGGTCAGACGTAGGTTGAGCATTGAAGAGACAAATGAGGGAGGTCTTCTTCACCAAAGCAAACTACAGTCACCAGAGAAGGATATGGTAAGGGAAAACACTCAACTGAGCTTTCCACAAGCCACTGTCCCTCCCTGAGACTCAATGCTTGAATCTACAACTCAGGGAACTAGAGGGAATGGTCTTGAAATACTTCTAGGGCTGAAAATTTGTGATTAGGGAGGAGGGCAGAGACAGAGAAAAAAAGCTGGAAGATACTCCGTGTGCCCTTCAGAATTAAGGTGTTGAATTCAGGTGGCCACACATACACCAAGAACTTGCTCCTGAGACTCCTGACTACCCTGGGACATTAAGGCTGCCCAGTCTCTGAGTAGCCAAGCTCCAGCCCTCAAGCATACACGCAAACCGGTCTCTTGCACTCACTCACACTCACAGCCCCCAGTCCCACACCCACCTTCCTCCAGGGTGATACCCTGGATAGGTACACTGTCTCTGAAGCCGCTGCTGTAGCCACCCCTGGATTTCTCCTGCTCCGAAGCCCCCTCCCCAGGGGTATAGCCTGGCCCCACCTCATTGTAGCCCTCAGCAGGTAATGGGTGGGCAGCATTCTGGGGATTGAAGGGGTCTTCAAGGGGCGGGGAGGAAGGTAAAGGAGGCCTAAAGGGAGCTGGAGGGGAGAATGGAAGCCCCAGGGCAAAAGAAGAACCCTGTCCTCCATAAGGATCACTGGGAAAGGGGCGGGGAAGGAAGGAGACTGCAGGCGGGCGGGCACAACCTGTGGTACCTCCAGTCTCAGGGAACATCCGCAGGCCTGATCTATAGGATGGTGGGGGCCCCGTCTGGGGGTATAGAGTGGGGGTGCTATAACCAAAGCTTTCGGACAGGTAAGGAGTCTCATAAGCAGGGTCTTCATGGGGATAGGCGGGGTAGGGGGGCCTGGGTGGTGAGAAGTCCATGTCAGTGCCAAATGGGGGACCCGACGTGGAAGGGAAGCCCCGGAGAGATGAGTCTGGTAGGGGCTCCTCCTTGAAGATCACTGGGAAGATGAGGAGGCAGCAGGCTGGTGAGGGTCTGGCAATTCCACCAGGACACACCTTCCAACCTCCTTCCCTTCCGAGGGTTCATCTGCCCCTTATCCCCTCACACTGGGGTTCCCCTCCACCCCCACCACAGGCAGTCTTAGAGCGCACCAGGTAGGAACTTGAAACTTTGGGTAGGACTGCGCTTCCTCCTCCCGTTGGAGACGTAGAAGTAGACCTGGACTGGCCGGGATACCCGCTTGTTGCTGTACTCAGGGACAGTCAGAGTCAGTGTCACCTAGTTAGGACAGAGGAGAAGACACAAGTCCTTGGAGGTCTTATATCAGTCCAACCCTTCCATGAACCCAAACCTTATCTCCTAGTCTAGGCTGAGGAGCAAAGTCAGTTCCCTGGAGATGAAGCAACTAGACCCTCCAGGCCAGAAAAAGTTACTCTGAAGTAACCTTTTCTGTTGTTTTTTTTTTCTTTTTTTCTTTCTTTCTTTCTTTCTTTCTTTCTTTCTTTCTTTCTTTCTTTCCTTTTCTTACTATTTTTTGAGACAGGACAGCCTTAACTGTTCTGGAACTTGTTCTGTAGACCAGGCTGGCCTCAAACTTACAGAGCCCCACCTGTCTCTGCCTCTGGAGTGCTGAAATTAAAGGTGCCATCCCCACTGCCCAGGCAAAGACCTTGTCTGTTTGGTTTGTTTTGGAGACAGGGTCTCTAACTGACTGTCCTGGAACTCTCTCTGTAGACCAGGACTGCCCCCGAACTCAGAGTTCCACCTGCCTCTAAGGGGACCCTCTGGAGAATTCCTTACTTCTTCCACCCCTCACCCCACCACCAGGTTGGGTACCCCGGGGACACTGGTACCTCACTGCTCTGTAGCCGGTTCACCGCAGCCTCCTCCTCCCACTGCAGCTTGCCATCTGAGCAGGAGAGAAAGAGCTCCAGCCTAGCTCTAGGGCCCACCCACTGCCCCAGCGCCCTCCCTTCCCCCTCCTACTGGAGTCAATCAGATTTAAAAAGATCCTTAGCAGGTCTGGCTGTACCAGACAAAGACAGGTTTTAAAACTGTCCCCAAGGGGGTCAAAAGACAATCTAAGACCAAGGGAAATGGCAGGGACCTAGAGAGAATGTTAGAAGTATCCCTGGAACTCTTCCGCCAGCTAACTCAGACATCCCCTCCCATGATACCAACAAGACAGATAGTGAGGTAGGACTGGGTCCCATCTTGAAGGAAGGCACTAAGACCAAGACTCACGATGTGCACCCCAGGGTGCTAACTGTGGTCTGGGAGCTGGGCCATCATGAGAAGGGTTGAAGGAAGGACCCAGAATCCTGTCTCCCATTTCTCCACCCCTACAGCTCCATCTTGGGGGCACCCCATAGTTACAGCTGGGCTTTTATCTCCGAGCTCAGGACAGGCTCAGGGAAATCCACAGCAATTGTAAGTCCCTTCTTCACTTCATATACTTTTTTCATGATGATAAACCGTCTCAAAGCCAGTTCCTCTTTAATACTTTAATAAGCAGGATGTGTATTTCTTGTATTTGCTCACTATCCTTGATGTGTTAGCTGTGGTCACATCCAGGAGAAACTGACTGTACATGAGGGAGGCTCGCTGGGTGCTTCTGTGACAGCCGCAGAGTCTCACCTGCAGGTTGTAAGCTCTACTCCCCTCCTCTCCTCAGGGTGTACTCACCAGGGCCCCTCTCAATGAACACCACTTTAGAGTCTGGCAGGAAGTTGGAACCGGTCAGCACTAGTTCCTCCCCTCCTCTCACAGAGCAGGCACTGGGGCTGTAGGCCTCCACCTGGGGCAGCTCCTGTGCTGAGCGCTGGGCTGCAAAGTAGTATAAGAAAGGAGTCTGGCGGGGCTGGGTACAGAAAGGACAGCCCTTTCCAGCACTAGAGCTTGGGGAAGCCCTCTTTCCAGGAGCAGATAGAAAAGAGAACCAACAGCAACCATGAAACCACACAGACTTGCAAGGTTCACTCCTGAAACAGAGACAGGGCAGAGAGGTACAGGTTCATCTGGACCGTCCCCGAGAGACAGAGTCTGTAGCAGGATAAACTAAAATACCACCTTCACCTCTCTCTCATCATGGCAGAAGGAGAGCTGAGTCCTCTATAGGGCCACCCACCACACACAGGGCACAGGACACTATGTAGAGGAAACGGGTGACAGACAGACAAAAGACCTGCGAGATATGGAGAACTGGCCGGGGCCTGTTTGCTCACAGCATTCAATGGGCACTGACGCTGCCTGCACAGAGACGACCTTCCCGCCGCCCTGAGGCACGTGTACACGGAACACCAGCCGCACACGTGTGTTTTTGCGCCCGATGTCCGTCTCACCCTTCCGAAGTTCAATGTCTGAATTTCGAAGCTTGAGGATTCCAGCACAGTCAATGCTGAAGGCAAAGGAGAGATGGTAAGCCTTCCTAGCCAAAGGAGAGACGGTGATACATTTCCAGAGGGGAAGCTCCCACCCTCGGTTCATTTTCTAATCTACACATGGCCTCCAAGAAAGCTCCCCAGTGTCAAAAAATACTCTCTTAGACATTAAGGTCAGAAACCGACTGGGGACGAGACTTAATGACAGAGCATTTGTCTAGTGTATATAAAGCCCTAGGTTCAATTCCCAGGACTTTAAGAAGGAGGAGGAAGTTGAGCTGAGGCTATAGCTCAATGGTACAAAATTGTTGCAAAACATTTGTACACTGTAAGATGTGTTGCTGTGATGAATGTAATAAAAGGTTGAACAGCCAATAGATACGCAAGAGAGATAGGTGGGACTTCCTGGCAGAGAGAAAGTAAGACAGGGAGGAATGGAGGCAGGCAAGAGATGCCAGGAGACACAGAGAGAAAACAGGAGATGCAAGATGGAAGAGAGATGATGTCATGTGATAGAACCTAGATTAATATAAATGGGTTAATTTAAGTTATAAGACCTAGTTAGAAACAACCCTAAGATATAGGCTGAACTCTCATAATTAATAAGAAGTCTCCAGGTCATTATCTGTAGGCTGGTGATCCATAGATAGTCTGACAAGAAAGCTTGCTCCATATGGTGCCCAACGTCGGTCCACATAAGGCCCGAGAAAGCTAAGAAAACAAAATTCTGAACAAGTGGCTCCACTCTCACTGACCCTAAGTGAGCAGAGCCAGCCGCGAGGCCATGAGAGAGCTTAGCGGTTTAAGATTTGGCTCATGTGTCAGAGAATGCTGCAAGAGTATGACTACAGGAGCTTCAAAAGTCAATTCCAGGCCAAAAAAAAAAAAAACCCTCTGAATAGGTTACAGTATGCGTAAAAATGACTTAGATGCTGGGGGAGAAAAAAGAAAATGGGTATAGGCAATCATAAAAGAATAAATAGTTTAAAAATAATAAAGTAAAATCTTTAAAGAGGGAGTAAAGTAATATAAAAGAAAAAAGCCACATGAAGATGGGAAAAAACACATGGTGTCTGGACCCTGTGTGGTGCTTTGTTGACTTTAAATTTTTTAATGTTAATGAACAAAAAAAAAACAATAGCTGCAGAGAGACACTGAATTATGGAAACTGCTAAAGGAAATCAACCTATATATTTTAAGAACCCCTTTACTTCAAAATAAAAGTCAGAAAATATATTGCATTGGGGAAGAGGCTATGCCTTTGTTTCCACAGGAAACAAAAAGTTATGGTTCTCTTCAAAATTAATAAAGATCAGGTTTGACTGAGGGAAAAACCTCCTGAAAACCTTAGCTACAGACATGAAAAAAGGAACCAAAAAAGACAGGAGATGTATATATATATATATATATATATGTTGATCTCTCTACTATGGGAACAGCTCTGAGACTGGAGGAGACATGATAAATCTTGTTATGTATAGAGTATTCATACTTATTATTACATGTCATCCTTTCATGTAGCACAGTATGAGGTTTGGTTATACAGTCAAAAAAACCCATAAAATTTACAAATGCCTTTTTACCTGCTCAAACATAAAACAAAAATCATCTTTAGTTCTCTTGTACACACTGCACAGTCCATATTTGTGTTAATACAGATGTATATACTACCTTTAAAAGTTTGCTTTTCAGAAAAAAAAAAAAGAACCAGACACCAATGAAGACAAGTAGCCCAGGTGATCCAGCCTCTCAGAGTGTCTCTGTTGCGGTTTCCTCAAAATTCTACATCCAGAACAGCTTCAAAGCTGCTAGCTGAGATGGTCCAGTCTTACAGACTCTCCAGCCAAGACTTCAGATAAGTTCTACACTTTCCCATCACACAGAGACTAAACAAAAAATAATACAGCTAGTTCTCCCAGGACTTGACCATTATCCCAGTTTTCTCAGGGTCCCCTGAAGATTCTGTCGCCCCCAGACAGCAGGAATCAGTCTAGAGAACAGGACATCACATTCCCGAGAGATGGACTGGGTGTTTTGGTCTTTCAATAGATTATAAATGTTTATCATCACTTAGGGGGAGTTGGTTACAAGTTGTTGTTGGTCATGGTCAGGAAAAAAGCTGAACAAAGGAGATTAGATTCAGTAATCTCTTTCCGAAAAGAAAAAAGAGGGATAGAGTATAGAATGATAGGATAAAAGGGTGGACTGTTGCACCTACTTTTGAAGAACCACTAGTCTCAATTATTTTACATTGGTATGGATTTTTGTATATTGATACAAATTTAAGGTTATTTTCTTATACTGTATATATGTTTCTACTCTTGTTTAAGGTATTATACCTGTGCAGCTCATTTAAAAATGTAATGTAAAGCTTAGCCCTTGAAAGCTATTGAGGATAATAAATAAAGACATGTTAGTTCTTAGTCATCTAACAATCAAACTTGTAGTCAGATGGTCAAGTTTTCAAGGTTAAACAGATATCTCTTAGATGGGTTGTCTTCAAACACTTCAGAAATCTACAGAGTATGAAATTTAAGATGTTTCAATAACATAAAGCTTTTGATGACAGTGAGATATGTCTGCTCCTGGTAGCACCAATTTTCTTCAAAAAAGAAATGATGGTTATCAAAGAATCTCCATATGGAGTTTGCTTTCAATGTGGCAAAGCTAGCCACTGGGCAAGAAACTGCCCTTGCCTCGACTGCTGACAGTGTGCTGTCCAAACTAGACAAACAGGACACAAAAGAAAGCAGCTGCTGAACTTTGCCAAGACAAGTAAGACAGTCCTTTAAAAATTCCTGCTTCACAGGAAAGTCTGTCAGATATTCTAGGCCCATAGGCAAAAGGTGGATGCCCCAATGTTGCAGATGAACCTTGGGTGACTGTCTAGGCAGTCAGCTGTCTCTGTCGTTTCTGTAGTTTTGGAAGTTGTTTGTTCTACACTTCCTGTTTACTCAGGTAATAGTATATTCTTCTTGGGTCTTTGATGGGGGTTGAAGACGAGATAGTAATAGTTACAGTTTATTGTTATCAACGTCAGAAAAGAAACTTGCATAAGAAATGTAAAGTTTATAAGGTTGAGAAACATAAAATCTTAAAGTGATTATGTAAGAAGATGATTTAAGGTCTAAAAGATGTTTTTTAGGATGGCAATACATAGTTATGATAGAAAGTGGTTTAGGTATAAAACTTTGATAGGGTAGGCAATACAGTACTTTCTCCAAATTTGCCAAATACAAATGGACTGGACATTGTGAATGTGGTCCTTACTTAATAATTGTTCTTATTGTGTATAGTTTTACTATGCCAGAATTAAAATCTTTCCTTTTTATTAGAGAAAAGGGGGGAAGTGCTGTGGGATATTTGTACATTGTGTGAAGATATGTTGCTGTGATTGGCATAATAAAAAGCTAAATGGCCAATAGGTAGGCAGGAGCAATAGATGGGCCTTCCAAAGAGAAAGAAAGAAGAGGAGGAGCTGAGGCACTAGGAGACACGCAGAGGAAAGAGGAGGTGCAAGAGAAGAGAGGTAATGCCATCTGATAGAATGTAGATGAATATAATGGGTTAAGTCATAAGAGCTAGTTAGGAACAAACCTAAGCTATAGGCCAAGCTTTCATAATAATTTTCGTAATTCTTTTCTTTCATAAAAGAAGTCTCTGTGCCGTTATTTGCAAGCTGTCTTGCCAGGCAGAGAAAAACTTGCTACACAAAACACTTGCCTAGAAAGCTGGAAACTGACTTGGAGTGATGATATCTAGCTCTTCTGGGAAAGAGAGAAAGTGGGGGCTTTCTGGTCTTAAATTCTGCGGGCTGGGGGAAAGTTGACTGGGGACTTACTTTGCGGCCATGTTGTTCTCTGGGAGTAAGGTCATCTCCAACACTTTGGTACCACTGACTACAGCTTCATAGCTGGCCGTGGCCACCATCTTGCCAGTAATACGGTGCACCTGGTAGAAGGCATGCGGCCGCAGGCTCCTTTCATCTGCAGTGCCAATGAACATCTGGAGAGTCAGCGGCTTCTCACTGTAGCCTAGGAGCTGGCAGGGGGAGACAGAAGCACCTGTTTGAAAGCCCCAGTGTCTTTCACCCTTTATCCATCCTTGGCTTTTCCTGTCCAAGGATGGGAATGGTGAAAGATGAATACCCTGTAAGGGATTCCCTGTGGGAAACTGGGTATCCGCTGTAGAGAAAATGTTCACAGTCAAGTTCACAGTGTTATTCTTGGAAGGCCCAAACTGGGCTGGGCAAAAGAGGAAGAGCTTCCAAGAAAGACTAGGCCAACTCAATATAGAGAAAACCTAACTCCCAGTGACCTTTGGCCTCAGCTGAAACCCTCCCCCACATCTGGCGAGTCACCATTTTCCAAAGTAGACATGAGGCTGATGTCCCCTGGGATAAGTTGGGGAGCGTGGGGGTGTAGGAGAACAGAAAAGAAGAGTAGAAAGTATATCCGGGTCCTTGCTGTGTACCCTTCCTTCCCCGGTTCCAGCCCCTCCCCTGGGCTGCCTGCGGGTCACAGCTGAGACTGTGGGAAAGGGCAGTGCCATGATTCTGTGTATGGCTGAAGCTCATTTGCAGGAATCTGGGACGGGAGAAGAGAAAGAAAGTCGGCCCGCCTTCTGCCCCTTACCTTGACCACAGGGTGACCTCCAGGGGCAGCTTTGACAGCACCTCGGCTGCCCTCTGTCTCGTAGTGGGCTCGATGGTGTGCTCTAGGCTGCACCTCAATCCTCAACTCCAGCTGTTCATACTGGCTGGGCAAAGGCCAGTCCAGGGGAGGTAGGGCAGAGGTCCTGGGTGGAAGAGGAGAGTATGGTCGTCTGGAACCTCAGCCCCATCAGCATCACACTGGGTGTGTGGGGGAGAAGGCAGTGTGGGTATGGGAGAAATAAGAAATCACGGCAAAAGTCAATTCCAAAATCTCAGAAACAGGGGAAATGATAGGGAACAAGGTCCTTTGAAGATGTGTGTGTTTGTGTGTGTGTGTGCGCGCGCGCGCTCATGCACGAAAGATGGCAATAGCACTGAGACTCCCTTCTCCCAGGTTCTGGACAAAGGATTGAAGGTTTTACCAAGAAACAGAGGAACCCAAAGGAACTCATCCTCTTATCTAGGAGGGCAGGTACAATGCAGAAGTGCCATTTTAGACCAGAAAAAGCATCAGAAAAATAGAAAGGCTGAGGGCAGAAGCCTAAAGTAGAAGCTAGGGGCAGGCTTCTCTGCTACCAGGTCAACTCCTTCCTGCTAGTTGGGGCTAAGTAGGAAAAGTTGCAAGGGCTAAGGACTGCTTTTCTGAAATTGCCCTTACAGACTCGGCTAGTAAATCTCAACTGGTAACTTCCTGCCCCTTCCCCCAGGCCCCATATTTTGCAGTCTTTTACTTACCATAACGAATGCAAAAGCTGCTACTAGTGTCTAATGAATAAAGGCCTAGGAGGCTGGCTGCTCAGTCAGTACAGCCCTGCACAAGAAATTGTCCAACTCGACACAGTAGTCTGCCTAAGTTGAGAAACATTGGCCTATGGGAATCCCAGCGAGTCTAGTTTCCCTCTAGAAACTTCTCAGGATGGAGACACCTCAGTCTGACAGCTCAGGGGTTAGGACTATTGAAATGGGCAGGATTGAGAGACTAGAAGGGATAGAAAGGCAAGTTTCAATATGAATTCGTTGACTTGCAAATGCATGTAACTTTATTCAGATTAAGTGGGGTTCTTAAGACCCGCACCTAGGCAAAGAGTTAGTGGTGGGCTTCTTGTAATGGAACACAGGGTTCTTCTACCTGTTCTGTCTAAATCAGCCATAGGCTAAGATCAAACTGCCTGAGACAGGACTGGCCAGGAGGTGTGGGAACCCTAAAGGGGTTTACAATAACCGATAACCATTCTTAGAATACTGAAAAGGCTTTTTCTAATAGGTCCACAGGAAACAGCCCATTGTCAGTTGCTGGCTTTTGGGGAGATGTTTGTTTTTAAACTAAATTGCCTTAAAACCAATTAGCTGCTGGGGTCCTGTTGCAGAAGCTCTTCTGAGAAGTGGAACACACCTGGAACCAGGACCTGTCTTTAAACCCGTCCTTCGACTTTCCTGCTCCCTGAGGAGAAAGGGCTGAAGAGCACAGGGCTGCCAGATCTGGCCCTCACCTGAAGATGGGGCTATGTCCCCCAATCCGGGCCTTGGACCATGCAAGGGGAGAAGGCACTGCTAGATAGTCCATGCCAGCCACCTCTTTCCGCAGACCTCCCGGAGCAGCCACAGCCTCTTCTGTTCCGGAGGGCAGCTTTCCATTGCACGAGGCAGGCTCCTCAGACCGAGGCAGGGCCACCGCCTGCTCGCTAGAAGTCCTCCGGGTTTTCTGAGGGATGCTCTCGGTTGTTGGAGCTCCGACATAGTCAAAAGGGCCTGGAGAACTAGGATCCCTGACCAGAGGCAATGGGGGCGGTGGAGGTGGCTCTGGACCCTCTTCCCCAAGGCTGCCCCTGCGGGACAGAGCTGGGGAGGCCGAAGACGGGGTTCCTGAACTGGAATAGCGCCTCTTGCCACAGGGTGAAGCAGGCCGCGGGGAGGCTGGGATGGGCCCAGGAGCGCTGAGGAGTAGCCAGCTATCCTCTGGCGCTCGGCCTCCGGAGCTTGGACCGTAGAGGCTCCATGGATCCTCCGGGGTCCAGGGCCTAGGAGAAGCCCGGGGCGAAGGCAGTGGAGAGCTCAAGCCAAAGCGAGAGGCTGCTTCATTAAGTTCAGACTCCACCTCGTCGCATGCTGCATACAGGGCGGCCTCGTCCGAGGCATCGGAGAAAAAACTCCACGAAGACAGACTGCTGCTGCCAGGGCTCGGACTGAAGAAGGCACCTCCGCCCTGGCTTCCTGCCTCTCGATAGCCCCCAAAGCCTTCTGGTGGGGGGTAATCTCTAGGAGAGCCATCTCCCCAGGTTTCAGGAGTGTCCTCTAGCGAGGTCGGTGGGTCAGGCGTGGGAGAGATGGAGGTGATCCGGATGCTGGGACACTCGAGAACACGACCTCCCCCAGCACCCCCCGCACTCCCTCCTGGGCCCCCCAGCCTCACCGACCGAGCCGGCTGGCTCTCCCAGGTGCCAGGTGAAGGGGCGGGACGGGGTGGTGGTGAGTGCATGCCTGGCCGAGGGGGTGGGGGTCGGGGAATACCAATAGGGGCAGCACCATAAGGAAGGGGTTCCCCAAGGGCCAAACGACAGCAGGGAGGGGCATCCTCTGAGTCCAGCTCTGTCAAAAAGGAAAGGAGGGTAGAGGGAGATAGGGAGAGAGAAGCTGGTGAAATGTCTAGGTTCCTTGGATGGTTAGCTCCCAAAGTCTGCTATGCTGCTCATCTAAGGAGGGGTCTCCTAGTCTCAGGACAGAAGCAAAGTTGAACATCAGAAGATGGAAACGAGATACAGCCATGCCAGAACCCCATATTCTGAATCCCTGGTCCTAGGTCCTAGGGTACTAGAGAAGGTGGGACTTAAGGTGAGGACTTTAGGCTGCGGAGTGCCTGAGCTCGGCCTAGAGGTGTGTTTGCCCAGGCTCTGGGCTGGGCCGGGGGCGACTCACACATGAACCCAATTAGCAACGGTTCCCAAACCCCCAAATGGTGTTGGCAGAAACCCCAGTTACCATCGCAACAGTGGCCTGGGGGTGGGAAGGATGGGGGCATGTCTGCGGTGACAAGGGGAGGTGGCTCCTCCCTCGCCCCCCCAAAAGGGGGCGGGGGTGCAGCCGAAGGGTGATGCGTGCGGGGGCCCAGCCAACAGGGGGGTGGGGGCAGCGGGCAGCGCGGATTCCGTGCGAGCGCCGGCCGCCGCCCCCGGCTCGATCCCCGCCATCTGCCTCTCATTGCGGCTAGACAGGGGGAGGGGGAGGGGTGCCCCTGAGCTGCCCGAAAGAGCCCCCAGCCCCAGGCGTCGCGTCTGCAGGACCAGGCCTAGGTCCGAAAGCCTCAAACTCCAGAACCAACCCTCCCCTTCCCAAGCCGGCACCCCGGGCTCTTGGGGGCCGAGATTCCCTTCTGCCCCCCATCACAGAGACAGCCGGCCTAGCCCAGAGGCGGCGCGTAGCCAACAACACCCCCACTCCCACCCCAGTCACGACCTAAAAAGGAAAAAGTGGTGCCATGGCCCCCAGCCTCACTTCCTCAGCCTTGGTAGTCCCTCAGCTCCCTTCAACCTCTGACCCACCTCAACCCCCACCCCAGGCTCACTACCTCCAAAGTGTCCTAACTCAGATCGCCCCGGCCCTTCAGTCACTGGCCAGATGACCCCTTCCCAGCCCCACACTAACCTTCCCCAGGGCCCCCCGCGCCCAGCGGGGGGGCCTCCTTTTCCTCCCCGAACACCAGCTTAAATTCCAGCTCCTCATCTTCGCAGCTTGCCGCCCCCATGGGTCCGGCCGGAGCCCCCAGGTCCCGCCTGGGTGGGAGGGGGAGGCTCTGGACGCTGCTGTAGCTTCACGCGCGGGTGGCTCCCTCCCTCCCTTTCTCTGAGACACCCCCTCTTCTGTCGCTGCCGCCTCCCTCCGGACGCCCCCTCGTTATTATAGAAACTTTTCCAAACTTTTTTTCCCCCAAACTTCTTCAAAGCGGCCCCCCCAGCCTGTCCCTGATTGGCTACCAGGGATGCTCCGGCCCCTCCTCCAGGGATGAGATGGGAAAACCACGCGCCCCTAGTCCTCCCCCACTCTCCTTCCCTAGTCCTCTCTCCAGTCCCGCCCCCTCCAAAGGGGGAGAAAAAACTGAATTGGAAAGTGTTCCCTTCAAACGTTACAGGACCCTAATGGTACCTATTGGCTCGCAGTAGTGACAATCACTTTTCACTGGGAGCCCAAACCTCAACTTATTTAGTCTCAGTGGAGGGAGGGGGTGGGGGGAATCCGAGTCGCCTTAAAGAGGCCATATTCTGGGCTCCCAGTGTGGCGGGTCCGTGGTACATCCTTCCTTAAGATCTGAAAAGTAGTGTAGCTAGCATCTCCCAAGAAAGGCCACCGCTTCTGCGCTGTCAATCCAAGTCTGAGTAGAAAGAGTTGCGGAACTGAGAGAGGTTCTGGGCTGTTCTGAGAGGAGGCCATTCCTTTCTCCACCCTCGCTGAGACCACTGTACCTGGGCCTTCAGGGAGCTTTTGCACTGCTTACCATCACCTCCACCGGCCACTCCTCCCATTTTCTGAGAATGCAGAACTTTTAGTTGTCCGGGAAGCCTCTCAGACTTTCCTAACCCCAGGAAGCCTTTAAAGGCCCACAGCCCCTTCTGGGCATAGATCCAGGCCGGGCTTTGCCGATACCCTGGTCCTAGCCGCCTAGATAGGCCATTAATTAGCTTCCTTGGAGGAAGTCGGGTCCCTTTCTCCCTCTCCCCCTCCCGCCCCCCCCCTCAAGCTGCAGACTAGAAAGACTCTCTCTTCCAAGGGCATCCCCCCCCTCCCGGCTCTCCTAAATTCCAAGCCAGGTTTAGAAGGGGCCTGGAGCTGAAAACTTTGGCCCCAGGGCTGGACACCTGTCACCTGGGCAGGGGAGGAAGACCTGGACTGGAGTTTCTAGGAAGGGCAAGCAAGAAAAAGAAAAAAAAGGGGGGGGGTCCCAGTGGGAAGAAAAGAACGTGGGACCGGAGATTCTTGATTTGGGCTACAGGTTCCGCGGGGCAGGGGAGCAGTCACCGTCCTGCCCAGCACGCTAACCATTTGCTTCAAACTTCTCTAAGAAGCCTCACGGAGCTCTAATCTTCAATCCCTCAGGCTCTGGCCGCGCGCCCAGCAGTCACCCGAGGCCAGCACCGAAAGGGTTAAGCGCCGGCCCTCGGGTCAGACGTTTACAAACACTCGGGAGCCGGGCGGGGACCGCGCCCATTACTCTAATGAGAAACAGGCTCTGCGGGGCAGAGGGAAGGGGGGCTGGCCTGACGGGCCCCAGCTCCTTGGCGGCCGAGGCGGCGCCCCTCCTCCTCTCAGTCCTCCCCCGTGCCCGTCCTGGGGACCCCCCCCAGCCCCGGGGGACCCCAATGACGTGCGGCGCTGCCCCGGCTGCAAGCCCAGGGCCGTGCGGCGGGAGGGGCTTGGCGGGCGGGAGAGAAGAATGTTCCGAAGCCGCGCGGGGAGACGGCCTGGTTTGATCCCCCCCCCCCCCCTTCTCTTCGGTTCTTCTCAGGTTACATTGCCGTCCTGCTTCACCTCGGAACTGGAGAAACCCACGGGCAAGGAGCACGAGGTGCACCTCGAGAACATCCACTCTCCTGCACCTAAAAGGAGGGCGGGCGGAGGTGGGAAGCCATGGAGGACAGACCCGGAAATCAGCCCGGGCCCTGCTCCCTTATACCCCCCGTTCGGCGGCACAAACAGACGCGCACATTCTTTTCAAATGTCATATTTCCTTTGATCCTGGGCAGTGTTTCTCCATGTGTCTGGCTCAGCTTCTGCCCAGCCAACCGCCTCCCCTCCCACCCCGCTTTGTTTTCCTGGAGCACCCTCCCCCTTCCCTCGTCTGGAAGGCCCGGGAGGGTGACTTCGGCTCTCTTTCCCCTCTCCTCCCAGTGACTCAATTTCCCCGCTGTGGTGTTGCAAAAGAAAGCAGGCAGAAGAGAGAGCCGTTTGGCACCAGTGTGGTATTAATGTAAAAGATTGCTCAGAAAGGCAGACTCTTTCAGATTAGAGCATCCTCTACCGCAAACCCTCCTAGGTTTGGGCATTAGGCATAGGAGTGGGACATGTGACCTCTGACTTGTCCTGCCTGGCTTTAGAGGCCCAGGGCTGGTAGTCTGGGTTGCCCTACACTACTGCCCCCTGGCGACCACAAAGCCCAGCTGCCCTTCCTCCCCTTTGGCGACTTTCCCCTGCCACCTTGCCTATCTTCGCTCCTCTGCCCCCTAGCGCGCACACCTGAACGGAGTTCACTTGTGACGGACTTTGGTTTTTGTCTTGTGCTGTTTGTTCAGTCGGTTTGTTCTAGAGACAGTCTCCTGTAGTACAGGCTATCTTGGAACTGCTCCTTATCCACTCCGCAGTGCTGGAACTATGAACACACAATGCCATTCCCAGTTGTTCTGATTGGTATTATTCGACAGACTTGGAGCTGAATCCTAGTTTTTTTTTTTTTAATTACACAAAATGTAATTTTGTAAGTGATCTAAATCAGACAAACGTGGCTAATTCTGATAGTCCAGTTTTGTATTCACGTAGTATATGTTTGTCGTATATACAAACATCTTTATGGGCATGAGATCATGGTACACATACTTTCCTTTTTTCTTCTTTTTAAAATTTATTTTTCGAGACAAATGTTTCTCTGTATAACAGTCCTGGCTGTCATGGAACTTGCTTTGTAGACCAGGCTGGCCTCGAACTCACTGAGACCCACCTGCTTCTGCCTCCCAAGTACTGGGATTATAGACATACACCACCACTGCTTGGCTTTAAATTTTATTGTTTTTTTTTTTTTTAATGAGTCGTCCATCTTCATGTATGCCTGTACGCCAGAAGAGGGCATCAGATCCCAATACAGATGATTGTGAGACACCATGTGGTTTCTGGGAATTGAACTCAGCACCTCTGGCAGAATAGCCAGTGCTCTTAACCACTGAGCCATCTCTCCACCCCTAGCATACTTTTTTTTTTTTTAACTTGCTTTTATCCCCAGTTAATAACTGGTAGCTGGGCCTCATTTCAGGCCTGTGATCTCAGTTCTTAGGAGACTGGTGGAGGACTGTTACCGGTTGGAGGCCATTTCTGGCTACATAGCAAGATTCTGTGAAGGAAAAAGCGAGTTCTACAGATGTCTGTAAATGCACGTGCATCTGAAAGTGGCAGTCGCTTCTGGGCCTGGAAAGTGCCGTGCTGGCAGCTGAGGTTGGAGGAGTCATCAGCAGCCTTGCCAGGCTCTGAACACGGAGCTACCATAATGAGGCGGCAGAAGTGGCGTGGGTGTTACGGGGTAACCAGCTCCACAGGAGGAAACACATGTTTGGTTGGTAACTGTAAACCCGGCTGAGAATCCTTGATGGGAGCTCACAGCAGTAAACCTACTGCCTTATCACACCGCTCTCTAAATTCCCATCGCTACACCTTCGCAATAGTGTAGCTATTGGACCTGATTAGAGAAGTGTCTTTGCCGTAGTGGGTGGTGGCCGGTGCGGAGAATCACGATTGGTGGAGACGTGTCTGGAGTGCTCAGCCACAGATGCGACATCTGTGTCACCCCACACACATAAGACTTGAGGACCATCGAAGAAAGGGGGGAAAGGTGGTATAAGAGACAGAGTTCAGGGAAGAGCCAAGTGAAACGCTGTCTTCTGCGTGTTTAGGACGGCTGCAGTCAGAACTCACAGCAGCTCTGTTGCCTGCACACGATCAAGCCAGCCAGCACTCTAGCCAGAAGAGCTCCCGCCCCTATCAGATGAGCTATTGAATTTGGTGGCTCCTGGGGGAAGGAGCATCAGTTTCCTTTAGAGGAAATGAAAAGATGAGCGGCACGAATTGGACTCTGTGTTATTAAATAAACAACAAAAAAAAAAGATAATTGGGTTGGGGCTGGAGAGATGGTTCAGCGGTTAAGAGCACTTGATGCTCTTTCAATGGTTTGGTTCCCAGCACCCATATGGTGGCTCACAATATCTGTAACTCCAGGTCCAGGTCATCTGATGCCTTGCTCTAGCCTCTGAGACCACCAGGCATGTATGTGTTACACAGACATACATGCAGGCAAAATATTCACACACACACGCGTAGTGAGAGCCCATCTCAAGAAAATAATTTTTTAAATTTTTATGAAAAACTCTTTTTATTTTTTTTAAATATTTATTTTATTTGTTTATTATGTATACAATATTCTGTCTGTGTGTGTGCCTGCAGGCCAGAAGAGGGCACCAGACCTCTTTACAAATGGTTGTGAGCCACCATGTGGTTGGTGGGAATTGAACTGAGGACCTTTGGAAGAGCAGGCAATGCTCTTAACCTCTGAGCCATCTCTCCGGCCCCTATGAAAAACTCTTAACCGGGTGGTGGTGGCACACACCTTTGATCATGGCACGCAGGAGGCAGAGGCAGGCAGATCTCTGTGAGTTCAAGGCCAACCTGGTCTACAGAGAGAGTTCCAAATAACCAGGGCTGTTGCATAGAGAACTCCTGTCTCAAGAAAAAAAACAATACAACAAAACACAGAAACAAAAAGCTCTTCTCAAAACTGGGCGGTAATGATGTACACCTTTAATCCCAGGACTCAGGAGGCAGAGGCAGGGAGATCTCTGAGTTAAGGCCAGCCTGGTCTACAAAGTGAGTTCCTGGACAGCCATGGTTGCACAGAGAAACCCTCTCTCAACAAACCATCGTTATAATTATAATAATAAAAGGTTTTCTCTATATGAAAAAATTTGTTTTCAGTATTAGTTGTAATAAAAAAAAAAACCATATAAGCAATGTCCATAAAAGACATGCAGAGCCAAGTGTGGTGATGCAGGCCTTTAATCCCAACACTCCAAGGCCCAGGCAAGCAGGTCTCTGTGAGTTCAATGCCACCCTGGTCTACACTGGGAGCTCCAGGCCAGCCAGGGCCAATAGACCCTGTCAAAAGAAAGAAACCAAAGAGAATGAGGAGATGGCTCAATGGGTCAAACACTGGCTGTGCAGCTGTGAGGGCCTGAGTTCAAATCCTCAGCTCGCATACAAGGGCAGGTTAGGTAGACTCCCTCTGTAACCCTGGTGTTCCTAAGGCGAGATGGAAGATTGTCCAGACAGGCGAGTCCCTAAAAGCTTACAGGCCAGGTAACCTATAGTTAGAGATGGCAAGGAGGACTATCTCCATGTGAGAGACCTACATACAAACCTCAGCACAGGCATCACCTTCTCCATCGTACATACACACACACACACACACACACACACACACACACACACACGGAAATGCAAGTTGTAAAAAATTTTTATTGACCTCACAAATAAATAATAATGCCAAATATATATTAATTGATCAGCAAATGGATGCATGATAGAGGAAAAGTATTGGATTTATTGTAATTCTATTACTATCACATTATATGTAGTATATTACTTATATTAATATTACAATTGCAATATAATTACAATTAATCATTGTAATTCTATCATACTTTTTGCATGTATTTGGTGTGGGTATGTATATGTGTGTTCACATTTGTCTGCATGTTGACAGTGTAAATGTTGGGTATCTTTCTTGATTGCTCCCCACTTTATGTATTGGAGCAGAGTCTCTCTTAGAACCTGCAGCCCTTGGTTTCAGCTAGTCTAGTTAACTTGCTCAGTATGTATTCAGTGTGCCTCTGCCTCCTGAGCTCTGGGATTACAGGTGAGTTACATTTCTGTGGGG